ATAATAGTAAAATATATCACAGACGGATTGCATCATTTTTGAATGTTTAGATGCCCAATTTATAGTTTTTTTCATCTGTGATTTACAGAGGGATTTTTCTGTCTATAATTTACAGTGAATTTTTTCGTTTGTAACTTATAGACGGATTGTAAAATCTGTTATCCGTCTGTAAATCTGTCTATATATACAGGTTTTTTAGTAGTGAATATTATCTAACATTTTTATATGTATGTTAAATTTGTCTCTACAAAATGTTTGATATTGATTATAACACTAAAATATTTTATTTATTGCATTTTTTGTGAACACTATAGATGTGGATGATGAGATTGATGTTGTAATTCTATATGACGTGAGAGGTGAACGACTGATGAACCCATATTTTTACTGATATTTTAGCATAATTCTAACTCATTTGATAAAGAAAATATATGAAGAAAGCAGAAAAATTTAGAAAAAAAGAATGATTTGAAGTTTTCTTTCAATTTATAGTTATTTTAGAAATTGTGAAATTTTAGCTTAGAAATTAAGTTTTTGATCTTGTTTTTGAAGGAATAATTTGAGCAAGATTCATGGAAATAAAGGCTTGATGAAAAGGAAGAGGAAAGTAACAAGTTTGGACTCCAAAACATAAGAACAAGGAAATGCAGGCTGGGCGTGGTCACTATTGTCAGTGAAAGTGATCACTCTAGAGCTCAAAGAAGAAGTAAAGCCTGGGCGTTACCACTTTTGCCAGGAAAAGTGAGAGTTCCAGAGAAACCTCAGACTCAGCATGCTTTGCGTTATCACTTTTATCATTAAAAGTGAGAGTTCCAGAGAGGCAAAATATCAGGATGCTCTATGTTACCACTCTTATCATCGAAAGTGATCGTTCCAAAGAGCCTTCAACTTGGCGAGTTGTGCATAGTCACTTTTATTCATAAAAGTGATTATGCGCAACCACTTGACCTCTGCGTCAACACTTTTATCAGCAAGAGTGATAGTTCTAGAGAGCTCTCAATTCAGCAAAGTTGCGCGTGGCCACTTTTTCTCATAAAAGTGTTAACGCGCAACCAATCAACCTTCTGTGTAGCTACTATTTTTTAGGAAAGTGATAACGCTCAAATCTGGAAAATTCTATAAATACCAGAAACGCTCAGATTTTCGGTGATTATGTTCATTTTCAGTTTTGTTAGTTAGATTCTCGTTGGAGAGAGTGATAGAGAGGATTGGGGAATCGAATCTTGAAGCTTCATGAAGAGACATTGGAGTGGAGCTTGCTGCCATGACGATTCTGAGTTTCTTCTTTTCTTCTTCTTCTTTCTCTTTCTCTGCTTCCATGTCTGTGTAATTCTTTGTAGTTAGGAGTTTATGGAACTCGAATTGATGTATTGATTGGATTCTTGCTTCTAAAATTTGAGTATTTGAATTAATTGAGTTGTTAATTCTGCACTTTACTTAATCTTTGAATGAGAATTCATTTGATTAACCTTAGAGGAACATTTGCCAATGAGAATTGGATTTGATTCTTTAATCTGAATTAACAACCAAAATTAGGGGTTTCTTAGGGATAAATACACTTAATTCTGTAATCCTAATGTTCTAAGTCTTAATGCAAAATGAAATTGAACTTCACCTAAGGGATTAGGGTGGTTTAGTTGCTTGTTAGGGCCAATGAGTTAAGGGATTAACCTTTGACTATTAATATGAGAAACTGATTGTCAATTAACCAAGTTCTTGAATGTTTAGAGGTATAATTGAATTAATATTGACATTCTTGTGAAGTAAATTCCTAACTATTCTTCATTCCTATCTCAATCCATTACAACTTTTATACTCTGTTTTTACTGCAAGTTAATTCTTCGTATTGTTCTGGTTTATTGCTATTACAGATTACTAATCTCATTCAAAATTCGTATGGCTCAAATGGTTGTAATTCTGTGAATTGATACTTGAAATCTAAATTCCCTGTGGAGATGATATTTTGTTCTTAAAAATTACTCATTACTTACTGCAATCCTAGTGCACTTGCTAGTGTTGGATTGTCAACAACAACGACTAGTGTGTTTAACTCTTAGCCCTTTGATTTGTTTTGAAGAATATATATATGTCCCATCAACTTGTAAAAGTGGCTTGCAGTATCAAAATGTTTTAATACAAGGACCAAAACTCTTAAACATTCAACATAATATTTGAACATTGGAAAATAATTCATCATTGCAAAAAGCCTTTGCAACATCCAATTAAATAACAGATCCTCAAATAACGTCACACATTGTTATACACCATTGCGGCAAAGCTTCAAATAAAGCTCTCCACTGACCAAATATTTTTCAATTGCCTTTTGCTTTGCCAAACATTGTCGTGTATTGGAATCGAGACTGAATTTTCCGAACCACCAATTTTATTTTAAAAGAAAGATCAAATTCTATCATTGGCTTTATAAATTCTATAGTTGTATCTACATTCAACTTTCCGTGCTCTTGAAAAATCCTTCTACTAGTACAAGTGTGTGGGCTGTTATACTTTATAATTTTTCAAAAATACTTGTTATTTCTGAAACTAGCTCAAAAAAGCCATATGCAATTTATGTCATACCGAACATATTTGCAATAAAATGTATTTGACTTTTACTCAAACATTTTGTAGTCTACTCCTTTTCTTATATTGTAATACTTTATTGTTTGTATAACAATTTCTTTGTCATTGAATTGCCTTTCAACATGCAACTCACCATCTATATCACAACCTATAATGGTGAACATATGTTAATTAACAGAACTAACATTAAATTCACCAACATTATTGTAAAGTTCACATGCCCTAAGTTTTCATACTATAGAAATTCAGATGTACACATAACATCAAGATCTAAATCACATATCAAGGGTGACTCCTTAAATAGATGTTGCCCAACCAAATGGGACAACTCATCATCAGCATCATCATTAAAATCCTCATCTTCACTTTCCTCATCGCTTTCATATTTTTCTTCAAAGTTGTTGTCATCACTTTTGATATTGTTCTATTCTTATTCTATCTCTTTGTCTAACATAGTGCTTGCATATGCTTCTTGAACCTCACAATTTTTTAAAACAACATACAACTCAATGATACAACATGAGAGATGCTATTGTTGATGTATCCAAAATATTTATTAAATATTATCATCATTGGTTATTAAAATTGTATGATATTACATGAAATTGCCAAATATCAATTTTGGAAACCGATAAATAATATACTATTTTTAAAAATTAAACTTCAATATATTTACTAAGCTAATACTTTAAATTTCTAAATGATATATATATGAAATATGCACACATATTAATTTCTCCTGTACAAATGTCATACCTTCATTCGTATTTATTACAATCTCACTCATCATTAAAGTAAACTAGAATTGTCACACTCATTTTTTTTTTTTGTATGAAACACAAATGAATAAAACTAAGGAACTAAAATGTTTCAAAAATTTTCATGAGTGACTTGTTATTAATGAAGATTGCAATATTTATAGTCTTAGCACTTAAGATTTGTCAATAACAATTTTTATTTTAAAAAAATGTTATTAGCAATTTATTATTGGGTTGGATATTTTTGTGATAATTTAATATGGCATAGGTCACCACCACAATGACCTCTTGACTATCTGAAAAACTTTGTTTTTAATAAAAATTACCAATGGCATTTTTTTATTGTATTTTTTACTTTTTTTTCTTAAAAAAATATATAAAAAAAAATATAATTTATATTTATTTTTTTCTTAAAAATAAGTTTGTATTACATTTTAGTATAAATTTTGATTAACCGTATAAAACTTATAATTTATCACATTCATTGAAACTTGATTCTATAGTCAACTATTTTTTATTCAAGTTGGCACAGTAATTAAAATATCTTTACATCTATTTATGCGATTCTAAGATAAATTAAATTGCACTAGCAATTACAACTAAACCACCTAGTGGAGCAAAATCAGAGATAGTTATTGGCATTTATGAAAGCAAAACTCCCCCGTTGTGCCTATCCCTTAGGTTAAAGTAAAATACTAAAGTTATGAAAAGTTGTATGTCTTTTTAGAAATAAACTGTATATCCTCGTTTTTTAATACAACTAATTATAAGATAGAATCGTAAAATTTTAAGCCTTAATATAATCACGTTGGATTGGAAATTTTGATAACCTTAGCGTTTTACCATAGGATTTTGGATTCACCAAGTTAGTCCCCATATAAAACCCTTCAATAAATGGCTCAGGAGTAACTAGAGAAATGCTTGCCATTACGTTGTTTCGCTTTTTCTTCAAATGTCTTGCTACTTAGGTTTTAGTTCTTCCTCAATGGTACTGTACAAGCTTTCATATCTTGTTCAAATGTCTTGCGCTGCATTTAGGTTTTAGTGCATCCTATGAATGTCTAAATATTACAGAAAAAAATGCAAATTAAATGGCATATATCACCGTAATATCAACAATAAAGAAAAAAGGCCATCACTGATATCATAGCACCAAAAAATGCAAATTAAATGGCAAATATCACCGTAATGTCAACAATAAAAAAAAGAAGGCCATCACTGGTAACATAGCACCACTTTTCTTATAATAAAATGCAAAATTATTGATTTTGGGTGTTCTCGAGAATGGATAATTAATCGCTTTGCACAATATAGGACTGTACTATCATAGCATAGCACATTTCTTAAATAATATTCACATAAAATAAGTTAACACTAGCTTGCTGCTTCAACTAGGCCAAATGTTCATTAGTTAAGAATTTAACGGTGCCACAAGTCCATATTTCCATTCCTGTTGTGACATTCAGCCCATAAGCATATAAACACTAACAAGAAAGTCTTTTCATTACTCTTTCTGCCTATATAACACATTATTCATATATAAAACAAGACACTAGACAACACAGATAAAAGTCCACAAAAGGAAAATGATCATCAGCATGCAAATTGTTACAAACTACTGGGGTTGATTGACCTTTATTACACACACCCACAGAAGTCCCTTCACATGGTGGCTTCTGAAGATTTTTGAACCCACATAAGATGATTCACAGGGAAGAAGTGGCACACTGGAGCCTCCCCAGGCTTGAACCCAAGCTGCTTAAACAGAATGTGATCTGGGCTCCAATCAGATGTGTCCAAGTGGCAAATTCCAAGAGCTTCAATTTTATTGTCTCCACTCTCACCACCTAGTGTGACCTCGAACACCTTACTCCCTGTGGCTATGAAGTGGCAATAGTAAACAGCATAGGGGTAAGGAAGGGGATGGCAAGCTACCCATTTTGGAGCATTGATATCTTGTGATACTTCCAAAATGGTGTATTTTTGTAGAGGGATACTTGAGGGTGTGGGGTAGGTGGTCGTGAGAATGTTGTACTTTGGTTCTGAACCAATGATGTTGGCAACGAATTCTAGCATGGACTCTAAAGAGGTAACACAAGTCTTGGTCTCCCCCGTGATGGTTTCTGCTTCACATTGTTCAAGCGTGCCTCTCATGGCATTGGCTTGAGGAGAGTCTTGAGGGATTGAGAAGAGTTGAAAAAGACTTGGGAGTTGTGATGTTGAGAAAGGAATAGAATCGGCTTCTTTTCTTGGTAAGAAGTGGGAAACCTCTTGCACGGGAAATTGAAGGGTCATCACATTCCCAACATAAAGATCATCCAAGGCAAAAAACCCTACCTTGAAAGCCTCTATACGGGACTCCATTGCGTTTTTTTTGGAACCGGTTGTACCGTATTGGGTCATATAAGGGTGAGCGGTGTCATCATGGGATGACTCTTCAGGAGCATTTTTGGCATCAGATATAACATGGTTAGAATTGTGGAGAATGAAAGGTAGTTGACTGGTTTCATGGGCAGGAGTCTTTATGTAGCCAACTACGTAAGGTGCATTGGAATCATGGGTGCGGTCCCCATACTGGGCTATGTAAGGTTGATTGGCTTTGGAGGCAGCACTAGTTCCATATTGATTATTGGTTCCATATTGATTGAGGTTTTCGTGGTGTGATGGATGCTTGTGTTTGGGAACAGTATATGAAGCTATGTAATTAGATAGAGTGGGTTTTGAGTGGGTTCTGTATCCGATGAGGTAACTCTTATCATTGGACACTGGTGAGGCTTCGTACGAATCCACTTGTCTCTCGGGCCCCATTGCGTTTTTCTTGGAACCGGTTGTGAGGTATTGGGTGATATAAGGGTGAGCGGTGTCATCATTGGATGACTCTTTTGGAGGATTTTTGGCATGGTTTGAGCTATAGACAATGAAAGGTTGATTGGTTTCATGGGCATGAGTTTCTATGTAATTAGATTGAGTGGGTTTTGAAGAGGTTCTGTATCCGGTGAGGTAACTCTTATCGTTGGACCCTGGTGAGGCTTTGTACGAGTCCACTTGTCTCTCATCTCCCATCTCTACCTTCATTTCTCTCCCATGGATGCCGCATCCATTCTACAATGCATGTAGCAAATGAGTGGCTACTTTCGAACTTAATATCTTTTGAAATGAGTGAAAAGAAAATACTTGTAAGAGAACATAAGATTAAAACAAGTAACATGTTTTCCTTTTCATTTTTAACAATAAAAATAGGAAAAAAAAAAATCCATCTCTTCCTTTATACAGTGAATAATGGAAAGATGTTTCTCGATCTCTTAAAAATAGTGGGTTAAGATTTTAACATAAAAATTAAGAAATGTATTTAATTATATAGTTTTTATTAAAAATATTATGAAATTTTCTATTATTCCCATTTTAAATTTTTATACAATAGAGAAAAATAAAAAATGAATTTTGAAATAATAATTATTTTAAAGATAAAACTAAAAAAATAGTCTTACCTTAAAATTATAAAATAGTTATTATTTTTAAAAAATAAAATTAACCAAAGAGACTGTTTTTGAGACAGAGAGAGTACATTATTTCTTCTCAAACCTCCTACAATATTTTTCTAATTTATTTTTATTTATCATATCATTTATTTATTTCTCTATTTTTTTTATAAGACATGTTATAAAATATTCCTATATTCTAGAAAATGTATCTAATATCACCCCAAGTTTTTTATTTTATATAAAAAATGAAAAATGACATTTTAACAACCTTGAAAAACATGACTATTTCACTACAAGACTGTCCCGTTTTCTTTCGAGTGTAGGGTATGAAAAATTGATGTGGAACCGATTTTGATAATTTTATTCCTTTCTTTCATGGAAAATATTATTTGTAAATAAAATTGTTATCGTGATTTTAGAGTGTTCTTTAATATATAGGTCCTCTAATATGTATATTTTGAAGTTTTGATTACAAGTATTCGGAACGATAAAATAGAAACTAATGGATGGGAGAGTCACTTCTACTTGCTATATAACAAATTAGGCCCTATTTTAAAGGTGTATAGATTACTTCTTACTAATATTTAAATGGTAAAAAAGAGCAACGACACCCTCTATAAATATGATAAAAAAAAAAAAAGGCTATTGGTAATGGTTTTGTAGTATATAATATATAGAAGATATTTATGAATGCAATTGATATGTTTCAACAAAGATGTATGAAAATTGCCCCAACTTGGTATCATTGCAAGCTTAATACAAAGCATAATTGAATTACCATAAAGACCAAAAGGGCGAGAGAAAGAAACCGAAGTGCAAGTGTAGGAGCCATTTTATCTGCTATGAAAGAAAGTCTCTTCACTATGAAGTGAGGACGTGTTTCCTTTGAAGAGAACTACCCTTTTTATAGGCATTAATGAGGTTTCATCCATCTAATATATGGTGTATAATAATCCGAATACATTAAACTAGGAATTTAGTAGACATTAAGGTACACTATAAGTCTGCTAACAAAAGGGTATTGGTAATTGTTCTGTTGTATATAATATATTACAACTTGCTTAATAGTAACCACTAATGAATGGAGTGTTGCAGTTTATGAAAGAGATTATCATAATCATCTTACTGAATGAAAATAAAGTAACAATTCCATAATTAAAAATAAAAATGTTTTCTGAAATTTTTACTGCTTAATGAAATTACTTCTAAAATATTTTTATTTAATTTAAATTTTATTTTAATATTTTTTTTATTTTCAGAGTTATGAATTAATAATTTCATAAAGCTTTCAAAATTTAGCATAAAAATTTAAATAATTAACTAATAATTTTTAATATTTTTTTTATTTTTGAGATATCAAATCTCTTTCATAAAAATTTAAATAATTAACTAACGATTGAACACTGATCAACAATAAATGTCAAGTCTCAACCCTCTCAGAGTGTTTTGACATTCAACGTTGATCAACCCTCGCAGCGAGCATGCTACTTTCAGAGTAGCAAACACTTCTGCTGTTTGTGTGTTAAGTTGGCTTTGGTTAACTTAACCCAAATTTGACACGAGGGATGCACTCCATGATGTCTGTCCCAAGTAGAGAAAAATTTTGGTAACATTTACTCTAATTAAAAGATTAAGATGATATTTAGTCTTTTTAAATATTAAATAATTACTATCATTAATATTATATTAAATATATATATAATAGGTAATAGAGATGCAAGTGGTTTATCTTAAAAAAAAACTTAATTTTTTTTATTTTTATAATATTAAAATAATTATAATTATTGATTTAATAAAGTTATAAAATGTCTTTTCAAATTTATGAGTATAATAGTAAGTATACAAAATTTTTTTCTCAAAATAAATATATTTTGTTACGTATATAAATTTTATAATTTTAAAAAAATTGACATATAATAAAATACTAGTAATCGAGACCATAAATATTTAGTTAAATATCGGTAAGTTATAAGAATTTTAAAAAAAGAAAACTAGTATCAAGCACTGATCAAAACAAATTGTATCTATATAAATGATATGATATGATATCCAAAGTCTTTTAATTTATCATTAACCGTTAAACAATGGCTTGGAATATAATATTACATCGATTTGGGCTTAGGTCACACATTTCAAAACCACATCTAGTTTATTCAAGAAACCTAACTTAATCAATTTCAAGCTGAGTCAAATTATCGGAACATGCTCCTAATTAGTACCCCTAATTGATGCAATAAGAGAAAATGTTATTAATATAACTTTTGTTTAACTTCTACGCTATTATAACACAAATATAACATAGTAAATACATTAATTTATATTTCCAAAAATTATATTTATCTTATATATATATATATATATATATATATATATATATTGTCTCATTTTTCTTTTAAAATTGTACACCTTAAACATTTATATAGCTTAATAATTTTTTATATAATGTAAAATTTATCAATTAAATTGAAATATTTTGTATTATATAAAAAACTATTAAATAATGTAATAAAATGTCAACAAAACATAATTCACATGCATATAATTTATTTTATGAAAAATTTAAATTCAATATTTAAATTCATAAATTTTAATGAAATATTATTTTTAATAATATTTTATTAAATTTGACTCTACAATTAGAGAGGCTGTTTGTGTAACACCAAAATAAAAATTACACGTATTCCAATTCGCTTTATGTGAAAAAAAAATTAAAATAATTTTAAAGCATATGTTGTGAAGTTATACATCACACTAAATATGATTTTGTCTTATATCATGTCCATGTATATAAACTACGTCACATCATACTCCAAGACAGTTTATATTACTATTCTCATACGTCTATTATTTTTCTAAATTTTTTATATTCTTTACTTAAATATTATTATTGTTATTTTAATCTATTATTAAAAATATTTTGTACGACTTTTTAAAAAATATATATATTCTAAAGCAAAAATAGGCTCATTCTACACTTAAACGTCACTGCCCTAGATAAGCCTAATGTGTTGAAGAACTATTTATCATCTAAAAATTGATTTTGTTTCCCAAAGCTCTTAATGCAATTGCTTATACCTTACTCATCACGCAATTGTGGATAAGTAGCTCCACCCTTACTCGGTCTTTACAAAATTTTTAAAGAAGTTTCTAAAAAATTGGCAAATAATCAATCTTATCTTACGAGCATTTTTTTTAATGTTATGTAATCTCTCACTATTTCAACTTCTGTCTATTATTGTTTCAACTGAAGAATCACTGATCTTCTCTTCCGGATTGAGATGACGTCCTTCCTGACACTGCTGACATGATCTGACGTGAGGGATATACCTATAAAAGGCACTCTGATGATGAAGTCAGGTATCAGTTTAGGCAGTAAATGTTATTTTATAATCAGAAGTCAACCCTTTATCTGTATTTCTTACCTTTCTTTTATAGACATTATTATGGGCTAATGAACTTTATGAGTTAGCCCTGATTTTGGCCATTTAATTACAGTAGATAATGGTCTAATTATCACCCCTTAATTGGGTTGATTACCTTTTAACCTAACTGAGAGGGTACTCGACTATTTAAGCCGAAGGAGTACTCGATTTCTTTTTTTTATAAGGAGGACCGAGTGGTGCCTTATCCAGTACACTATTCCCCCAAGCCCGAAGAGGTATGAAACAAGGGCTTAATATCATTATTATCGATGGTAGTCGGATACTGAATCCATAGTTTGAGAGGGTATTCGGTTTAGACCAAGAAGGTAGGACGCAAGGTGTTTCAAAAGTTTATGGTGGCATCAATTTAGGGTTTTAAAAAAAGTTTAGGGTTTCCTCGGGGTTCAAGCCTCTAAAATGAAAGGTTGTTCAATCTTATTCGCAGATCTTGGAAAAGATCTAATGATCGAGAAGGGACTCGACCCTTCATATGCCCGACACCTCGAGTTCTATAAATACGTGGTGGACCAGGCCTCCTTTCATGCTTTTTCGCTCTAAACCAAGGGTAATATACTGTTGCTCTAGATTGAGGGGTATTCATTGTTTTTAGAAGCTTTCCTTCCTTCTTCCGACAACTGTAAGGTACGCTTAGTCATCCTCTCTCCTCTTTTCCTTAGTTCTTTATCATGGCCGAATTCGTAGAATGAGAGGATTCATTGTCGAATTCGTCGAGGCCGACAACTGTTGAAGTTCAAAATGTTAGAGAAACCGAAAAGGGTGGGGAGGTCTCTTCCAGGCTGAGTGGGATAGACGGTGAGGTAGAGCTAATAGTTAGAGAGTGTAGTGATAATGTTGAACCTTCTGATGCTGTCGATGACTCTGAACTGAATTGTTACCAAATGCTAGTCCTCCCAGTGAAAGGCCGATATTTCCCCCTTGCGCAATTCCAGGATATGAGTGGGTTCACGGTGAAGTAGTCGCCTACTTCTCACATTTCCAAAAGAATAGGAGTCTCCAATCTCTTGTAAACTATTGTGATATATCGTTATGGAAGGCTTCAAATCCGTATCTGATAACCATCGACATCTGCCGAGGAGAAGGTTCCAGAAATCCTGACTTAGTGTTTTTAGGAGAAGGTGTTGAAATGGCAAATACCTTTTTTGTATACGAGTATATGTTTAGAGAATTAGGCATAAGGCTTCCCTTTGACGACTTCCAAATGGGGGTATTGAGGACCTTAAACATCGCACCAACTCAACTTTATCCGAATGGATGGGCTGCGATGCAAGCCTTTAGGATTTTGTGTAGATTTCATCATATAGAACCTAGTGTAGGTTTATTTCTTCATTTTTTTCTATACTCATCCATCTGACAAAGTGAGATGGGTATCCTTAATAAGCCAAGCCAAATTACCTTTGTTTAAGCCTTATACTTCGTCTTTCAGGAGTTTCAAAACCAGATACTTTAAGATAACCGTGAACCCTGTAGGTAGAGTATATTTTTTTGATAGTGAAGATAAATCTCTTTTCCCCTTTCCATTGGACGTGGGTGCCTCGTCGGTACAACATTTTTCTCGAGGAGATGTTGTCAGCTGAAGAGTTATAAGCTCTCGAGTATTTAAAGACTCTTCCTAGGGAGCTTCATGTTCGGTCTCTTATTTTGTTGTTGAAGTCTCCCTAACCTCGGTTGGATATGGATGGTATGTTTCATATTTTTGCTTGTATTTTAGATATTGATTTATATTGATTTGACTTATTATTTTTATTGTAGGTATAATGGCACTGAGAGGATCCGGGTTAGGCTACAGAAAAGGTCTTAAGTTGAAAACTCCTGAGGGCACTTCTGTAGCTGATCATCGACATCCAGTTATAGATCGAATTCCGTCTATAACAGAAGCCCACCCTTCCTCAGGATCTCTCCCTTGCCGAAGGCAAACCCAAGAAAAGGAAGGGCAAGGGCAAGAAGAAGGAGCACGAGAAGGAAAAGAGGCATAAACATGCTAGTTCAAGCCATCCACAGGACTCCTCGGTTCAAACAGTAGTACCACTAGCCGCTGTGTCGAAGTCCTTTTTTGCTGAGGGATTTCGGGGTCAACCGAGTGATTTGTCCTGACTCTTATAAAGAGTCAGGATGAGCACTTGTAAATAATCAAAAGCACCGGACTTGTTGGCAGTGGTATTGTGAATTTCAAGTTCGGGCCATGGTGATGGCACACAGCTTTGCCTTGGAACTTCTGCAAGAACGGGAAAGGGTTCAAGGCCGACTCTCCACCACCGAACAGGCCCTAGCAGAGAGTGAAGAGGTTCAGTCAAACTTGTCCAAAACCAACAAGCTGTTGGAGGGGAAAGTTGCTGAAATGAAGGAGCACTTCCATATGGTGGAGAGTTGGATGCATGCAGCCGAGGAGGCG